CATTGCCCTTCTTGGATTGATTCGACGTACATTCCTTTCGCAATGTGGCCAAAGTTGTGGCACCACCTACACTTTGGTCCTTTGCTTGATGTTGTATTCGTTGTTTCACTCTGCTTCGGTGGTTGCTTCCAGTACTTGTTGATTGCGAATGCTGCCCCAGACGAAGGTACTCGAATTTCCTGTAGCAGTTTTGTCTTGATGATGTCACCGGTAATCGCTGTTCCGGAATTCTCGAGCGCCATAATCATAGGGCCATATTCTTCAGACAACCCAGCCAGCAAAAGTGTTCCAATCCACTCGTCGCTAATTGCAAAACCGATTCCTCGTAACTGATGGGCGCTTGCTATAATGACGTTGACGAACGGTTCCATGAGGTTGTTATTATTACTCATCAGGCCGACTTTCCGGATCAATCCGGTGTCCTCGTACGCTGCTTCCAACTTTGACCACGCTTCCCGTGCAGACGTCGCTTCCCTCATATGTACGTAATTTACCGGATCAAATAGAAGCATTATTTTCCTCACGCTTTCCGGTACTTCAAAGCATTAACCGCCGGTATCTGCATCTGCATTCTGTGTCGGCTTGACTGCTTTCCACAGATTTTCCAGTTCCAGAAACTCTGGACCGCAAACTTCCACGTCCACGAAGACCAGTTTTTGCGACCTACTAGAAGTTGAATTGACGGCAGACTCAGTGAACCTTGCTGGAAACTTCCCGTGGGAATGGACATCTACTTTTGGAAAAATTTCGAAATTTGATGTTAACTTTTCTTCGCTAGTTTTCCGAACTCTCTGGGTCCATAACTTATAGCGAATTCAAGCATAACTTTTCAAAAGGACGTAAGTCGCAAAAATAAACAATTCGATATTTTGCATCTAACCCAATATAAAATACATGCTTTCCTAAGAGTTAATGAAAAACAAGGTTTGAAATTAATTATATGATTTGAGTAGTAGCTATACTGAAGATCCGAGAGATGTCGCCCCTTCAGTGGTAGGAAAATCATTTTTGCAGTATGGAGAATATCAGACAATCCACGATTTGTGACTGAACATGCTTTTACAGAAGGAAACAAATAAACGAGTGTTTACCTTATCACCATAGAAATGTACTCGTGCAATTTTTGTGCATCTAAAACTGCCCATAAAGACGATAATGAATAAAAACTGAAAATTTTCATGCATTTCCAAATGGTTTCCTACCATTCCCATACATTCGAAAGTGACTCGCCCTCTGGATGTGGATGATGTCAAAAACAACAAAACATGATTAATTGTAATGCATTATGGAAAATATATTTAATGAACGCCCTATGTGACCTTTTTTCATTGTTTTTAAAATGGTGTTGATAGACCCTTTTAATGTCAACATGACTTAACTGTTAAAATTTGATGATAACACAAAAACTGCAGATACGCTCACAGTGAAGCGTCGTATGTGAAAAAACAAAGCAACCACTATCAATCAGCAGATGCGTCAAGTTGTTTCTAAGTAGATACAAAATGGATTTCAACGGGATTCAGCTACTGCTAGGTATGTTTTATTAAAGCGTGGGATATTTCGAAGAAGTGGAAACAGTTCCGCAAGAAGGATTGCCTCCAAGCCTAGATCTAAACGTGCACGATGATGCTTCTAGTAGGGGAATTTACGTATTCTCGGCAACCTAAGCAGCGACCTTCTTTCCATAGCCTTTTTCTCTAAGGAACGGACACATATGCAGTATTGGTTTGTTTACAATCTTTTGCTGCCAGCTGCTCTAACAATTTCAGTCGAAAGAATTGTCAAAGCTGTTTTGAAACGCTTTTACAAAGCTCCAATCTTCTCTAGTGAGAGCGAGTATTGTCGGCAGCCCGTTTTTCTTCGGCAACCGTTCCATTTGAACTGCATGTAAATCAGCTGTTCTATTATCGGCAACTCGAAATCAGCTACAATTTGTAGTGCGTGTGTTGCATTTCAAGAAAACCTTGCTAGATTGCTTTTTCTCAGTGGTAAAAATATAGTCAAATTGAAGCTGAAATCATAAAAAATCGTTTGCATGCATTCAGCGAAGTGTTTTCGTAAGAAAATCCAGTGAAAATAGTGTTTCAATTTTAGTTGCCGAAAATAGTCTGTCATGCCGAAGCCGTCATTTCCCCTAGTTCTAGTAGTGATATTTTTGTATAACGTTCCACTCGAGCACAGAAATACTACCAACGAAAGGAATCAAACGGCCAGAGTTGTCACAAAGCAACTCTGTCCCAGATAAGTCATTTTCCTCTTCTGCTCTTCCCATTATCTTCTATCCATTCTGATGATGATGCTTCGTGGCTACCCGATACTGGTTGTGGGATTTAATCGTGTAGGATTACATCCGATTACGATGAAGTCTCTGTTTGAATCCTGCTAAAAAAAGTTATGACACGTTTGTTTTTGTATTTCCGGGAGCAACATGTTTATTATTTCAAAGGTATTCTTATAAAATTGCACTTTAATCTTCACATACCAATCTGATCAGCGCTTTCTTAATACGAAAAACGCAAATCGTTTAACATCTGACAGCAGATAATGCGATGACCCTCTCATATCCGCTTTTCACATCGATTATTTCACAACTCTGGGTAGTTATGTAAATAAACCAACCAACCGACAATACCTCAATGCTTTTCGAGCTGCCGACGTATCTTCACTGCAAAACAAAAATGATTTGACGTATGCGAAAACCCTTTTGTCAAATAGACGAATCATGCAGGGTGTATGTAACAATCAAGGTGTGATACCGACGAATGAATCAGGGAGTATGTGAGTAGTACAAAAGTAAAAGGTGTATGATTTTGTTTTATCAAAAGTCTTGTCCGTGTTTGTAAAAATCGACATTTTTCACAATTCTCTTAAACGCAATCCCTTTATCCAACTAATAGCACAAGCAGGTTTAAAAAAATAGCTGTAACTTTTAAATAGCATTTAATAATCTCATATAGACATTGCTATCCAATGTTTCTAATTTCCTATCCAATGTTACATACGTCCTTTTGAAAAGTTATGATTAATTCGTTTATTATTGTGTTCCAACCTGGATCGGGTATCAAGATTGGGTTTGCTTGTTTACTGACAATCGTCAGTTTGATCGTTTATAGGAAAGTTTGAACATACTGAGAGGTAAGCACATATCATCGGTAAGAGACGTGTGTGTGAGAAAATTTGCGAAAAAATCCAAGGGCACCGCTGGGATTCGAACCCACAATTCCCATTCAGTACACGGGTGCATTGCCAATTATACAACGGTGGACCTATGGTCTACGGATGTATTTGGCTAATGACATTTGAGTTTCGAATCCGTTCCCCCACCCTAGTCTTTTTGCGCAAGCGTTCTCTGATACACAACAATCGTCTATTATCGACGATATGTGCTTGTACCGCAACCACTCAGTATCAGTCGATGTGAACAAACACAGCTCATTTTTGTTGTTCATCTTACATGCTGAAATATGTCCAGTACAGTATTGACTCTAACATTTTGAGCTGCCGGCCTCACCTCCGACCACCGGACCGTAGTTGATGAATATCAATTATTTTTACTTTTTGAATTTACGGTTTAGCGACTTTGCAGTCAATTTTAATTGTTTATAGGAAAGTTTGAACATACTGAGAGGTAAGCACAGTCAAGTCAGTTTGTTCGGTTGTTTATAAAACCTACCTCAGGTTGAGGTTCGCATTGACAAAAAGTTCGGTTTCGCACTGGGTTGGAACTCGCTCCAACCCCGATAATAAACGAATTCGCTATTATTATTTTTATTTTCGATTAACATATATCAGCCTTATATGATTATATTGTCGTATGACACCAACATCTTTCCACTTTGTGTTGTAGCATTTTTGTGTTTTCAAAGCCATTTTAAAAAATCCGGACTCGAAAATCTTGTTGGGGTTAAAAATGCATTTTATTTTTCATAGTTCAATGTAACAGCTATACATTAGTAGGTATTATGCTTATTGTAAGACCATTGTTTCAGTCTTCCTTCTTACCATAGGTTATTGCTCGAATCTTTCTTCGTACATCATCATCTTAAACACGAGCCCTGTTCCCACTTATTTGGCTGCCGAATTCCATTTCCGCTTGAAATCCTTCAGGTCAATTGCAGTTCCACCCTTTTTCTTCAGTATGTGTTTCACAATTGACCAGTATTCCTCAATTGGCCTTAGATCCGAAGTATTTACCGGATTCATCTCCTTGGGAACAACTGTGACGCTATTTTCGATGTACCACTGTTTGGTGTAATTTGAGTAGTGGCAGCTTGCCAAGCCCGGTCCGATTTGGCAATTCAACTCATGCTGCTCCAGAAAAGGCAGTAGTCTCTTCCGCAGGCACTCCTTTTGGTAAATTTGTTGGTTCATGGTCCTAGAAGTAACGAAAGTTTCGCTTTTCAGCCCACAACTGCAGATTTCTTGTCAGAAAGGGAATTTCGACTTCTTTTTGATTTTACATTCTTCTGGGGCACTCTTCCGGTGAACCGAGATATAAAATTCCTGCCCAGGAATTTGATCGAAAACTGCTTGAGAAGCATACCCAAGAAACCAAGGTGCCTTCCTTTCATTTTGGCTTAAACAAAGTTTTATGATATTATGGAATAATCAGATATTAAGATAATATTTTGTTTGTGTAAGCAACAAGAAAAGATTGTGCAGTTTGGTTTGACACAAAATGCCTGCCAATTTTTACAACATGTGAGTCGGAATAAGCAATTTAGTCATTTATCTCAACCACTCTTCGCGAAGAGGCGAACAGAAAATCGCTCATTGTTACTCTTTCAAAGCTAAATTACAGTACGGAAAACAAGATCGACGGAAAAACAAATCAAGGAGTCTGTAGACTGCCATAGCTCAATATTCGAATGGGTATATTTTATTGCTGCAATGATTATCCTTACATCTTTAGGTCTTATCAATTATGGGAATCAAGCCATCATGTCCATCCAATCAGAAAATAGCCATTTAACAAATTTCCTTTCTTTGTTCCATAACAGCCTCATCAGTGGTCTTGGCGGTGCCCTGTACGTGTGGGTACACAGGAAGTACGTACTATTTATGCGATCTAGCAAGAGGATGAACAAATTTTTACAAAAGAAGTAAGTCCCTCATCATCCGGATTTACCGATATCTATAGAATACTCACCTTCCTTTTGCCGATAATTCCAGTCGATTCCTGTACCCCGGCATCGTGTCACTGATAGTGGCCACCCTTTCATTCCCCCTGGGTTTCGGTCAGTTCATTGCCGGCGACTTGAGCACCCACGAGCAGGTACACCAGCTCTTCTCCAACTTCACCTGGAGCAGGCACGAGCTCACCGTCGAGCAGGCTGCCATCGTGTCCAACTGGCGTACGGCCTACACCGACGTCTTTACCAATCTCATCATTTATCTGTTATTCACGGTGAGTTCTATCTATTGGTTTAATATTCAAAAATCTACAATCCTAATATTCTTTCCCTGGCTTATTCAGTTCTTCTTGTCCATCGTTGCTTCGACCATTCCGGTTCCGTCTGGTATATTTATCCCTGTGTTCAAAATTGGTGCTGCCTTTGGACGGATCATTGGCGAAGCGATGCATCTGTGGTTCCCGTACGGAGTTCGTTACGGTGGTAAGCTAGCACCCATAATCCCGGGAGGATACTCCGTCGTCGGGGCAGCGGCTTTTTCCGGGGCCGTCACGCACACAGTGTCAGTGGGAGTGATTGTATTCGAAATGACCGGTCAAATAACGCACATCGTCCCAGTGATGATTGCTTCACTGGTTTCGAATGCGGTGGCAGCCCTGCTCCAACCGTCTATGTACGATAGCATCATTCTGATTAAGAAGCTACCCTATCTGCCGGATCTGTTGCCCAGTGGGTCGGGTATGTACAACATCTACGTGGAGGACTTTATGGTTCGCGATGTCCGCTACATCTGGAAGGGAATCTCGTATCAGAAGCTGAAGGACATCTTGAAAGCAAATAAGGGTTTGCGAAGTTTGCCCATTGTAGATAGTCCTGAGAGTCCTGTACTTCTTGGTAGCGTCCAACGATACGAGTTGATCAAGATGATCGATAAACATATTGGTCGTGAGAAACGTTTGGAAATGGCTGCCAAGTGGATGAAGGAAGCTGAAGAGAAGGCGCGTGAGGAACAGGAACGACTCAGGCGGGAAGCTGACGAACTGCAAAAAACTCGTCGCCCATCGAGATTCGAAGTCAGCCCCGCTCCGGACATTCTTAAGCTCCGTGAACGAGCCAACAACGAAATGCTGCCTCCTCAAGCAAAGAAGGAAACATCCTCCGGATTCAGTCCCGTGTTCGGAACGCAACCGAAGAAATCCATCCTCAAGAAGACCAACTCATTCACACTGAAAGGCTTTACTCCACTTTCACCGCACAGTCCCACGCACACGCCGTACACTACCATCACCGGAGGTACCGAGAGTCGCATTCGGTCCGCGTTCGATATAATCTTCCGCAAGTCTGCCACCCTGCAGGATGTTACCCCCGATCCGGAGCTCGGTTCCATTGGAACGCCTAGCATCACCGGAACCGAGATACCACTTACACCAGGCATTTCCAAGAAGGTCCAACTGCCGAGAGAACGCGTCATCGACATGTCGGCAGAAGACCAGAAAGCATGGGAACTGGAGGAAATGGCAAAGCCTATTGACGTGGAAAATCTACACATTGACCCTGCGCCATTCCAGCTGGTGGAACGTACGTCCATTCTGAAGGTTCACTCGCTCTTCTCGATGGTCGGCATCAATCATGCCTATGTGACGAACGTGGGAAGGCTGGTCGGAGTGGTGGCACTGAAAGAGGTAAGATCTCAACAACTGGGTAATTTCTGACTAGCAACATAACGATATGGATTCCATATTGCAGTTGCGACAAGCGATCGAGAACGTAAACAGCGGAACGCTCACGCCGGAATCGGTGAAGCAGAAACAGGAAGATGAAGCGGCAGAAAAGGCGAAGAAAGGTAAGCCTCACCCGAAGGTTACTTTTTACATTGGTTAGATTTAGTTTTTACCCTGGATAAGAATAAACAAGAGACTATTTATTGACACCGGAATGAGGACTATGATGGTGACTTCAAGTACAATCCGAAGACGAATATGAAATAACTGACGGACGTTAGCGAACCAAAACACCGACTCTGACAAATATAATATAAGTTTCATTTTTGTTACACTCATGATCAGTACAAACCAAAGAATCACAACGGACAATTCTGAAAACGATAATGCCATTATCATTTTTGTAACATAGAACTAATAGCAAAAAATCTCCGATCAACAGCACCGTACCAACAATCAATACGAAACTAACGATTTGAAATTGGCTCACTACTTGACTAGCCTATTGGTCCCAAGCAAACGATTAACGTACCCTATTCTAGTCAAAATTCTAGTACTACACAATGTTTGTTTTGATTCGCTATGAAAGTTTGACAGATAAAATGAGGGGTTAGTGGATTTTCCTATGTTTCGAGGGGTGAATCGATTAGCTTGGGACCGAAGATAGTACCAGAGCTGAGCCAAAAAGTTGAGCACGTTACTTCGGGACCTACTAGTCTTAGAGTTACCTCTATGACCGTACTCAGTAGGTGGTAAAGATGGCATTTGCCACACAGAAAAAAAAAATCTGAATTTTACTGGTGATGTAAACATTCATGCGTGTAAACTTCCTTTTTACGTAAACTAGCAACTTGTAAGAAATGTAGGAAACATATGAAATATTTCATGACATGTATCATAAATTTACACGATGATATTATGATTGTATGATAGTGCCAAGTTCCATAATTATTATTTTTCAAAGCTCTTTCAATTCAGTCAAGATCTCAGAACATCCATGACCGTCTTCAAACTTCAGGAATGATCTTTAACCTTTTCCAAGAATTTTCTTAAACATCTGGGCGAAACAAAGTTCACGAAACTTCCAGTAAGTTCCCAAATCAAACGCTGAAGTTTTAAGAAATAAGCTGAACTTCTGTGATACTCCCTGAGTGTCCAAGGTGTGGTCCGAGAAGCTCTAAGATCAGTTTATGAATTTATCAGTTTTACGGATGTTTCGGATCTTCCGGTGGACGGTCATAACTCTGAATTCATTCTGACAAGGCGTCTAAAAAAACGTGGAGAACTAGGATCAGTTTCGTAAATTGACCACTTTTACGGATGTTTCGAAAAAAAAACACGAAGCTCTATGATCAGTTTCATGAACTGACAATTTAACGGATGTTCCGGATCTTCCGGAAGACCATTACGTGGTCCCAGGTTTCAGATTCCAGTCACAACTCCGAATTAATTCTGAGAAGACGTTTATGAGTGACTTCGAAAAAACTATGGAGCACTGGGATCAGTTTCGTGAATTGACAACTTTTACGGTTATATCGGATCTTGCGGAGGACCAATACGTGGTACCCAGGGTCATATTCCACTCACAACTCCGAATTTATTCTGATAAGATGTCCGGGTCTTCCGGAGGACCAGGCTTATGACTTTCCGGATGCAAAAATTTCCCAAAAGGTGGTCATTTATTTTGTTAATAATTTCCCAGAAGACACCAGGAAGTTATCTCTTCAAAACATCCTACTATAAGAGTTTGTCCCCAATAAGCTTTTATCCCATGTGGTACGTGTATTCGTTAATGACGGTTCCTATTGTGCGGTCCTTATTAACCGTACTATAGAAATCTTGACTGTAGATGGAGCATGGGGATTAGATTTATATTTTCAATGCATACAAGTTTATTGATCCATTCTATAATATTATATAGATCAGTATCGACGCCGGCCAAGGTTGGTCTCTGGAGAGGAGAAGAATGATTAGTTTGATAATCGTTGTCACTAGAGACTGAGTTTACCTCTGCATCATCATTATAGTTGCCGCGGGAAGGATAGTTGTATTCGTGGATCGGGGTTGTTTTAAGATCAGAATTCACTGTGGCGATCAGAACTTATCTATTCACCTTTCGAAAGGTTTTAGCTATCTAACCAACTTTTCCGAAAGCATGTTCCTACACTGATATTTGCTGCAAGCATGAAGTCAGGCTGTACGGCTATGACATTACAATCCATATGAATATCACTAGGGAAAAGTTGAAAATCTTACTTCTATCTCAATAATTGATCTATTTTGTATCACCATTGCATTGTTTCAATAGTATTAATGAGTATTCTAAAGATACTCGACTGCTGGCGAATATAAGGAAAAAACCGGCTGCAGAATTATGTCAATGTCATTTGCCCACTGACATTGAGGCGAGTAATATTGACATTGGAACTGTGGGAGCAGATACTGAATAGAAAAAAATCAGTATTTTGTAGGTATTGATATTGATATTTTGCAGCACAGGTGAAGGGCAATGCTTTTAAAGTAAATTCATGTGATCATTATAAAAATATTCTGTAAAGAGTGCTATACTAGGGGTAGAACACTTGAGGTGCATTTATTATAACAAAAAAGTAGAAGGGTCTGTGTCTAGGGGCACGAACGGAAGCTTGACGTAGGACCACTGCGGTGCATGCTGTTCCACTCATATGTCGTGTCCGACGCTTGTCCGTCCGTTGCTCGAAAGCAAATGACGAAGAAAACTACTACTACTAACATTATGTTTATTTCGGTTTGTTTATGATTGGACATTGATTTTACATTTTGATTGATTATCCTACCTGGCTCTTCATCTCTGTTTAATTTATTATCCTAATTTAATATTTTTGTTTTGCAACTAGTTCACAGCACACCCCTTAAGGGGTGTGTTTTGTTTGAATTGGAAAAAGTGATAACCTACCTAACTACAAGCATAACTTAACCTAACGTGCTAGATCACGTATGACCTGGTGACTTGATCTCAGACAGGTGTCTCTGAACCTTTCCAGGATGAAAACTCTCCGTTCTTCTAATGTTTGAATTCTAGTTCGCGAGGGACTGTTTAAAAGCATCCTAAGGATCTTGTTCTGGATCCTTTGGAGTTTAAGGTGATGGCATTTTGCGCAACTCTCCCAGATTGACATACCGTACTCGATTACAGGAAGGATGATTTTTTTTGTAGACAGAAAGCTTATTTTTCAGGGACAGGTTTGACTTCCTGTTGATAAGTGGATACAACGATCTTATCAAGATGTTGCACTTGGTTTTCGTTTTGTCTACGTGCTCTCTGAAAAGAAGCTTGCTGTCTAGTATTAGCCCGAGGTACACGACCTCTTTGGACCATTCCACCACTGTGCCGTTCAGGCAGATCTTGTTATTCTCCGACGGAACAAGTCTAGGAGATTTAGAGTGTGGAAAGATAATGACCTGGGTCTTTGCCGCGTTGATACGGATCTTCCAGCTGTTGAAATATGACGAAGAAAACGATTTGGCAAACGTTTTTAGTATCGCTGCTTTTCTCCTCCCTTCCTTTGATTCGTGAAATGGTGAGCGGTTAACCGAGCATTGAGCTCACTCATGTGAGCATGCGCAATGTGTCGTGTGTTCGATTTGCGTTCTATCGTTGCGTCCGTGTTTGGAATTTTTCGTTACATGTCTGAATTTTGATTATTTAATGTGACCCCCAGTATAGAAATTAAAGACGTAGTCCTACGTAAAAAAAATGCATTTTCTCAGTGCATTTTTTGCTGCGTGTAGCTTTAAGTGACACCTTTCATGCATGTATACATAAAGGGTTTTGTCCTGTTTTGTTGTTCGCTTCGGTTTCGCTCAAATCCACACTCCTGGCTTGAGAAAATTATTCCAGAAGCTCCACGGCCGAAAACGCTGAAAAAAATCCGTCGAATTTTCCGGTGGCAGCATTAGAAATCCGAAAATGCGAGAAAACTCCGTCGAAGCTCACTGGAACCTCCTTTGGCAGCACCGAAATCTATCGGAGCCCTCTTCGCCGTGAACATATGAAAACTCCTTCGAAACTCCCCTCGAAAATTCAGATGCTGCCAACGGAGGTTCCCAAAGACTTTCGACGAAGTGTCCACGCATTATCGGTGAAAGAGGTTCTGCACGATACCAGTGAAGAGATTGGATGCTGCTGACGAAAGTTCCAGCGAAAATCGACGGCGTTTTCTCACGTTGTCGATGGACGAGGTTCTGCGTGATTTCGGTGATTTTGGAAGTTGCCAGCTGGAGTTTCTGGAAATTGAAACGGATTTTTCTTGCCTTCTAGGTGGAGGAGGTTCTGCATGATTTCGAAGACTGCCAGTGAAGGTTCTAGGAACTTTGTCTTATCCTGATCAAGGGTTTATCCACCAGCATTACGATTGACTACATACATTACATTGGGGCTACATTGAGTATGTTGATGTTGACAAATAAACAAATACATAGAGTCAGGCATGGAAAATCATTTGCATTCATTTCGTGCATTCATTTACATTCATTTGCCTCTAACTTTTTTCTTCAACAGTATTCCGCAAAATGATGTATATAGCTTTTGTAGGTTTTGTTATTAGCTATAACTTTTGTCAACACGTCAAACCCGTATCTCTTGTGCATGACAGACCAGAGCGAACAGAAGCCACTACTGTTTTTCAGTGAATGTATTTTACATTCACTTAAAAACAATAACAAGTTCTGCCCACTCTAGTTCGTGATGCATAAGAGATACAGATTTGAGTTTTTAGCAAAAAATGAAGCTAATGACAAAACCTACAAGAGCTCAACATATCATTTTGCGAAATGCTGTTGATCAAAAAAGTTAAAGGCAAATGAATGTAAATGAATGTATGAAATGAATGCAAATGATTTTCCATGCCTGCATAGAGTTAAAGAGCCTGGATATATAATTCAGGCTCTTTACATAGAGTATATCAGGCATAACATTTGATAACGGCACAAAAGCATTTGTAAACAAATTTTTTAAGGCTCTTTACACCACACGTGAACCAAAGTACGCCCGCGCAAACCAATACCACTTTCGGAAAGGTGATAGTTGCCCCTATCCTATGATGTTGTTGGTTTGCGTGAGCCATTAAAAGGCCATTATGGCCCATTAAAAGGCGAAATTTCTATGGCGTTTTCTTACGATCTTGGTGGATGAGGTCCTATTCGGTTTCGGTGGAGATTTATTATGCTGCCAGCGAACGTTTAAGGAAATTTTAACGGAGTTTTCAAGCGTTCTCAGTGGAGGAGGTTCTGCATAATGTTGGTGGAGATTTCTGATTCTGCCAGCGGATATTCCAGATTCGTCGGAGTTTTCTCGCATTCGCGGTGGGGATTTTCGGTGCTGCCAACGGAAGTTTCAGGAAATCTGTACGATATTTTCTCGGGTTTTTAGGATTAGGAGCTTCCGCATGATTCCGGTGGAGATTTCTGATGCTGCCAACGGAGGTTCTACGGAATTTTGACGGAGTTGTCTCGCGTTCTCGGCGGAGCAGGAAATTAGCTTCTGCATGATTTTGTAGAAGATTTTCTTTGCTGCAGGAGAAGACGCAAGATTTTCGTGAATACTCCACTCCGAGTTTTATTTTCCTGTTGTGTTTTTTTTTTTATCTTCGCCTCGATGCATGTATGTATGTATACACGGAGATGAAAAACTTCCCAAAATTAAGTACTTTCCCCTCAATTCTGGGGTTCAGCCCAATAACCCAAATTTGAGTAAATCGCATATAGTATTTTCCATTTAACACCAGCAAAAAATTACCAACTCTTAGGTATATTCTACCCAAAATTAAGTTTCATTCACGTAAATTTGAGAATATGCAATTTACTCAAAAGTAACTTATTGGGCTGAACTAAAGGGTGTCCACGATGAAATTGCCACACACAAAATTGATTCGCAAAATTCGAGTTTTCATCCGATTGCCATCAAATTTTCAGGGATTGAGAAATAACTATTAAACTTCATTTTACCATTTTACTCGTATTTTATTTACAGTCCATACGCAAATGCCCGCACCTTGGCCTTAACCCCGGCCATAAGATTCTGCACAACCTGTGAATCAACCGTTTTTTGCATGTAAACCCATACTTTCTTCAGTTCCTCGACTGTCTTCACTACCTTAGGTCGTTTAAGAAGGTGCTGCTTCATAATCGCCCAGTACTTCTCGATGGGGCGGAGCTCCGGAGTGTTGGGAGGGTTGAACATTTTCGGCACGAAATTGACCTTATTGTCCGCATACCACTTCAGCACGTCCTTGGAGTAGTGGCATGAGGCCAAATCCGGCCAGAAGATTGTTGGGACGTTGTGGGCCTTCAGGAGAGGAAGCAGCCGCTTCTGGAGGCACTCTTTTATGTACACCTGTCCGTTCATCGTGTCCTGGGTCACGAAAGGTGCACCCCGCTTCCCGCACGTGCAGATGGCTTGCCAAACCAGGAATTTCTTCGCAAATTTGGACATCTTCTGAGTGCGGACATGCTCCGGAACGCTGAACTTATCCTTGGCCGTGAAAAACAGGTTGCCGGGGATCTGTTTGAAGTCGGCCTTCACATATGTTTCGTCGTCCATGATGCAGCATTCAACTTTCGTCAGCATGTTGAGGTACAACTTCCTGGCACGGGTTTTGGCGGACTTGTTCTGCTTCTCGTCGCGATTAGGGGCCTTTTGTACCTTGAACGTTCGAAGCCCAGCCTTAGTTTTGGCCTTCTGGACAAAACTTCGGCTTAGGTGCAGCTTCTTAGCCACATCCCTAACGAAGGCGTTCGGATTTCGGTTGAAGGCCCCAACTACGCGGTTGTGATTTTTGGTGTTGTACGGAATACTTTTTCCTTCACTTCTGGGCTTCCGATCGGTGGTCAACCGTTCCTCGAACCGCTTAATCACTCGCGACACCGTGGAATTCGCGATTCCCAACGTTTTAGCGATGGAACGATGCGAGAGATCCTTGTTCTCGTGATGAATGCGCAAGATTTTATCACGCACGAGCTGTTCTTTCGACTCCATTTCCGCGAGTTTTGATCACAGGACTTTAAAACTTGCAGGATGTAAATGATGCACTATGAACTAAATCCACCCAAATTTTCATTAAATTCTACCCAACGGTTAAAAAGTTAGAGCAATTTCATAGTGTGGCAATTTCATCGTGGACACCCTTTATATCGTTGGGTCGAATCTCTCGTTCCTTTTTTGACAACAATAACGAGTGCAAGTGAGAGGCTGAAGTCAATATTAAATAAAAAGAACTCAAATTTTGGGTATTATTTTTTCTCCGTGTACACGGAGAAAAAAAACCTTAAATTTAACACTACTCAGTCAGGTAAGTTGGACTAAGGATGTAGTTTTAGACATGAACCGCAGAAGACTTCACTTCACCAAATAGGACATAAAGCTCAACCTAGCATAAGAAAATATAGCCATTCATACTCCAAAAATATTCTTTTTTTAAACTATTATTTCAGAAGCAGAAAACAACAACTCATCCCCGGAGGAACCCCTACTGCCGAAGGGCGACACCTACAGTGATAAGAAAGTAAATAATACCATAACCTCTATGGATTCGGCACTGTCCTATTCGGACAACTGCTCCGATATCGAACTAGATCACGTTAGGTTTGCAAACGATAAGAATAGCACCTCCACCATTCACAGTAGCAACGATAGCAGCAACAGCAGCAGTAACATAAAGAACAACAAACCGCAGTAATACTAACAACTTTTGAAAGTGTGGCGAATCAAGAAACGTCCAATAAGGGATATGGATGCCTTTTCTCAAAACTAAAACACTTTGGTATCTCAAATCTAAACAAAATAACTGTCATATTGACACCATCACTCGAACAAGAAAGTAATTACTCAATCACCTGAACAGCACACATTATCCAACCGTTTCCATACACTAAACACAAGGAGAGGATTGAATAAGATCACCCACTGGTGATTTTGGATCGTTGGACAAGGTACTTGGGGTGGAAATGCTACTGGTGTGCTATTTTATGCTTTCAAATAACCTCTGGGCAATCTGAGTATTGTTTTAACAATAGTTGTAGTTTTACATATTTTCCATACTAACAAATTGCTTGAATGACCTTCAATGTCTTTATCATAGCGACACCTAGTGTCATTAGGTCAAACTATTCATATTTTTGCATTCGAATGCATGTGAAAAACTCGGGAACCGACAGCGCTCATTTCGACCCCTCTCTCTCTTTCTCTCTCTTCCGCACAGATATTCAAGGATTAACCAAGGCCCATGAGCTATGAATCGGCGGCATGGCATCAAAACGTCATCATCGTCATCATCATTCTGTATTGTATATTTTACTTTCCCCTTCTCGCCAGTCTGACATGATGTGAATGATGCGCGGATCTTCCGAGAAAGTTGTGATTCTAATTTTAGTCCCATCCTACTACCTACGTTATTCCTAAATGTCTACAATTGCAAGGCCGCGTGGTTACCTTCCGTTTTCATCGACCACAACGACCACCGGAAGTAGAGGAAACGAGCATGAGGCGCGATAAGTCACCCGATAAACGGTTAAATTAATCTGCTAAAAGAAAGTAGCTGTGAAAATGTCATCACCCAAACAGTGCCAAGCATGTAAGTTGCTACGTTCGCTGGGTTTTATATTTAATTCAAACCATGCCAAGTCCCCACATCGATAGGAAATTATACAGCTTTTTAAATACTGATAATGTGTTTAAAAGTAAACAACTAAATCAAATGTATTTTATAGCGGTGGGCCGTCAAAGAGGGCTCCACTCACAGTGTAAATAGGTATCATTTGCTTAAGAGATAATAAGACGAATCACTGTTGAACAAAAGACATTTTACCTTTAATATTGTAATGTTAAGCGAAGCAAGTGTGTGATTCAGTCTGTAAAATGTATGAAGATGTAAGCCAATGCAAGCAGTAATGGTTCAAAACCCCGCGGAACAGAAGCTAACGATAGGTCGATTGAGTTTCAGTACTGCGATATCAAACAGGCAAAAGAAAGACACAGCATTATTATCCTCACCTGACTGTTTTAGAGAAATTTGTTACATTTTGGGGAATGCGAAATCTTTAATGTCAAATAGAGTCATTAGGATAATTTTAATAGACTAAATGTAGTTTCTTGATCCGAACAACCTTGAGCGTAATTTGGGTTGGGTGTACGAATGTAACTGCGGCCACTCTTCTACAGGCACTCTACCCACCTCCACTTCCGTTTTCGGATTTCTGTCGATGTCGGCTTCTGTTCTGAGATCCAGTTGTGAGGCACGTATTATAAACCGCATGCATCGGTTATTGAAGTGTGGCAGCTTTTGAGTGTTCACCGTTCACTACCACCTAATAACAATTAGAAATACTCAGAGGGAGAGATGGGCGGAGAGAATGTTTTTAGCCAAATGAACTGTCTAAATCTGAGCCAATCGAACATTCCCATTAAAAATTTTCCGAGGATTTCTTATTCTTACTAGAATAAATTTGAGAGTATTGCAATCGAACAGAAATTCAATCACTTTTATGTTTTGTGTGCTTCTCAAATTCAACTAGTTTTTGGAATCAAAAACAATATTCTAACTCTATTGATTGATTGATCTTCGTTGGTTTATTAATGACACCAAGAAATGTGCAAAATATTGCGATGCAATCAATTATTATTTTGCACGTAAATCGAATCAAAAATAAAAGTCATGTGAAATGCTAGCTTCTAGCAAGGGTTGCAAGATTATTTAGGTACAAATCCCTGCTGCCGAATTGTATTTTGTTTTCTCCGCCTATCTCTCCCTCTGAGTATTTCTAATAACAATAGGAATTGAAAATCTGGATTTTGATTTGATGGGTATTACTAATTTGCAAAATTAGGACATCAACTAATATTTCGTAAGCTCGCAAAGGCAACTAGCTGGGTTCTGTAGACTATGATTTAGACTTGTATAATGCTTTAAAACCTCGGAAGTCTTGGATCGTGGGCCTATGTCGCTCTTTGTTACGTAACCGGCAAATCGGCGAACCCATCGATGACTTGGCGAAACCTCAAATTAGAATGTATGTGTATAGATGTGGTGATAGGTACCGGTTTTGTCATTCTAATGTTTAGAATACTAAAGGCCGGCACACAATGGATACGTTTTCAGGTTTTTTGACAGTTAGCCCATGCATTATCGGTCAAAAAACCCGAAAACGTATGCATTGTGCGCCGGCCTTAAGGCTCTGAACCATTTGGTGGATTTTTTGTTTATCTTTTGGTTAAAATTTGACAGATGGAATGTTATCGATTAACCCTGATATCCGAGCGTGGTTATTTCTGACGGACAAGAAGTTAAATTTTGACAACCGTGGCTGAGTTCTTCTCGAAAACCAGTCGATCGACAGCACAGGGATTTTTGAACATACAGAATTATTTTTCGAAACGTCACATTTAACCACGAGTTAAATTTAACTCGGCAAATGGTTCACAGCCTAAATAGAACAAGTGACATCCGGGATCCTTTTCCGGCCTCTTTGGGGATGTCGAAATTAAATTAATCGTTTTCCATATGATCGCTTGTATGAAAAAGTTGTTCGCTGTAAATCATTCCAGACCAATGAGTGCCCCATAGAGTGCGACACATCAAATCACTATAGAAATTATATGGCCTATTGTGAATATGACATTTGGTGAGCGAAAAGAGTGGATCATGAATTAAATCTGACAGAATATTGTGGAGCGTAGAGAAGCAAAAACCGTGATTAAGCGGGTGAGAACCAGAGGAACAATATATTGTAGACCAACGAGTGCCTTTTCACACTATTAACTGTTATAAACAAAACGTTGATTATTCTTTCCTCGCCAATCGAACGCAAATTACCGGCATCATCGGATAGGGGAAACTTTCCTCAACCCAAAGATGGCGTTAGTTTGCGTAGGCGAGCCTTGAGTCACGAGAAAAGGGTTTCCGAAGTTTTGTTCGCAATAGCTGATGTGCTCTTTTCAGTTGTTGGTCATGATTTGCTCGATTGGTTCCGCTTTTTGACAGCTCAATTGGTTCCTGAGATTCTATCCGCCAGACTATGAATATAGCGATTATAGAGGAGCCAACAACGAAGCCTGACAACGGTAGTCAGCTATAGAGAAGGAAGTAAACCGCAATTGCATTCGGGACAAGCGACATTCTCTGCTTGAACGTCAAGCGGTACAGTTCGGTCTTTGCTCGCTCTGTCGAGTTGTTCGATAAACCTATAGTTTGTTACAAACGTTCGCAGATATACCAACAATCAATACGAAACTAACGATTTTAAATTGGCTCACTACTTGACTAGCCTATTGGTCCCAAGCAAACGATGAACGTATCCCATTCTAGTCGAAATTCTAGTACTACGCAATGTTTGTTTTGATTTGCTATGAAAGTTTGACAGATAAAATGAGGGGTTATTGGTTTTTTCTATGTTTCGAGGGGTGAATCGATTAGCATGGGGCCGAAGAGAGTACCAGAGCTGAGCCAAAAAGTTGAGCACGTTATTTCGGGACCTTCTAGGCTTAGAGTTACCTCTATGGATATACTGTACGTCGCGTCGTCAGTAGTGTCGGTCGCATCGCGTGATGGGAAGACAGCGCTCCCGGAGCAGACTTTGTGACCAAGCGGAGAAGAAGAACAGTGGTGAGGGTAGCTCGTTACCTACCTCAAATAGGTACGCTACTCTTCCCACCGATGTTGAAAATACCAGCCCAGTCCCGGTGAAGCGGACGAAAAAGAGGAAGAAGAATCAAGGACAGTCTGATGGTACGAGCGGACGCGACGATGTTACCACGACGAACGCCAGCAACATCGGTGATTTCCGCGACGCCGTCGAAACCGAGAATTCTGCCGGCCCGAGTGCGGTGAAAGTCCAGCTTCCTCCACTGGTGGTGAAGCAAGTACCACTCAACACGCTGATTGGCGATCTCTCATCGTTGGGCGCAGCGGAGTTTAAGCTCGGCAGGATCGGCACCAAGGTGATGCTCCGTACAAAAGTGGCGTACGAGGTGACCGTGAAATATCTGAAGGATTCCAAGGTGGAATTCTTCACGCACGACATCCATGGTGAGAAGCCCTTCAAGGTAGTCATCAGGGGCTACCAAACTTCAACCCCAAGATGGTAGAAGCTGAAATCAACCGGTACAAGCTAGCCCTAATCGCTGTCTTCCGAATGACAAGGAGAGACGAAAACGTGAAGACGTACCCGGATTGTCTGTTCCTGGTGCACTTCCAGAAAAGGACGGTGACGCTCAATGCACTGCAAGCCATCCGATCGATCTACTCCATCATCGTACGGTGATAGCCATACCGTGGCGGCCATCGTGACGTAACGCAGTGCCAGCGGTGCCTCAATTTTGGACACTGTACCCGCAACTGCAACATCAAGCCACGCTGCAGCAACTGCGCTCACGAACACGCCACTTCTGACTGCCCTGCGGATGGAGCCGTGGCGTTAAAATGCGCCAACTGTGGTGGTGCACATCAAGGTTCCGACAGACAGTGCTCCAAACGCGAGGACTTCAAACGCATCCGAAAGCAGGCGGCAACTAACAACCAACCAGGACGCAAGAAGGACAAAGTCCCGGTATTTCGGACGGAGGATTTCCCGCCTCTTAGTGCTCCACAGCAAAGGCAAAAAAAATCGCGGGTGCATCACGCTCAAGCTACTTCCGGTGATTTTGCTGGCCAAAGTGTTCCATCCCCCCTGGATTCTGGACACAACCAACAGCGCAAAACAACAACCCCGATCGGTTCTCAGCGGATGAACTGATGGAAATTTTCGTCAACATGTCCGAACAGATCTAAGTGCTCGGTAAGTTCATCATCCAGTATGGCGTCTAAACCGCTAACTATCGTCACCTGGAATGCTTACTCTGTAAGAGCAAAAGAGATTGAGTTTACCGACTTCCTCCGCAAGCACAGCATCGACATGGGCCTTCTAACCGAGACCCATCTAAAGTCCGGCGACAGCTTCTGGTTGCCTGACCACAATATTATTCGGCTTGATCGCACCCGCTCCAAGGGGGGGTGGTGTTGCGGTCGTCGTCAAGAAAGAAATAAAATACCACACTCTGTCCCATATCTGCACCTCTATCATCGAGGCCCTTAGTGTGGAGGTAGAGTCGTCGACTGGATACGTCCAGTTCATCGCCGTCTATTTCCCTCGACAGTGTGCCGCCAGCAGTGGACTAGCGGCTAAATTCAAGAAGGAGCTGTCCACCATCACCCATACCGGTTCCCGCTTCGTAGTTGGAGGAGATCTGAATGCTCGCCATGAGGCCTGGCGGAACTACCAGCAGAACCAGAACGGTCGTTTGCTGTTTGACCATTCGCAGCATGGGCTGTACTCCGTTTGGTTTTCGGATGAACCAACATTTATCTCACCGGCGGGCAACCCATCGACGCTAGCCCTGTTCCTGACAAATATCGGCTTGTCCAAGCCGGTAGCCTTGAACGAACTCAATTCCGACCACCAACCGGTGGTGTCTGAACTGGGCTGCAACGTGGCTCCTGCTTCAAGCCTGTGCAAAGACTACCATCGCGTAAACTGGGCCCAGTTTGGACGCGTGGTAGACAGGCACAGCATCGACAACCCGCCGCTTGACACCGTGGAGGACATCGACCGAGCGTTGGAGGGACTCCACCAAGCCATAAGCTGACGAGGCGTGCGTCCGACGAGTTCCTGTGAGGGGTAAGTTTATTGCCATTGATTCCCACACCCAACTCTTAATTCGCCTGAGAAATGTTCGTAGACGCCAGTTTCAGAGGACTGGAGATCTAGCGAGGAAACGTAAAATGGCCGATCTGAACAAGGAGATTGCTTCCAGAATGGTCTCCGGAACGAAAGTTTCGGGCGGCTTGTCCACAATCTGGACGACCGCTCCAGACCATTCTGGAAAGTTGCAAAGGTCTTAAAGACGCACCCTAAACCCATTCCACCACTCAAAGATGAAAATGATGACGATCGGTTCATAATCACCCCTCAGGAGAAAGGAAATTCGATTGGTGAGCATATTGCCAAATCGCACTTGCTTGGCTCGAAAATCCAAAGTCCGCTCGAAGTTCAGGTTGAGCAATGCATACTCAACCTTGATTCCTCCCCTTGTGCCGTCCTTCCGGAGGA